CACACTTCTGCCCTTCTCTAGGGTTTGGAGAAATTGAGACTTGTCCTGGAGATGTGGAGGTCTGCACTCTGCAAGCCCAAGGTGGCAGCCTGCAGGCCTGAAGTCTCTGGAGCCCTGAAATTTAACCTCCTCGAGGGGCCATCACTGTGGCTCTGGGCCCCCACCCTCCCAGCCAGAGGGTAGGGTCTGAAGTCTTTTTTTATACCATCCAGGGCCTTGAAATATGATCCAAAGAACTCTACTTGACCCTCTGGTGGCTGGAGGCCCCCCCAACCCAATTAAATTAAGTGGACCCTTTTTTCGTGTTCTCTAAAACTCTAGCCTTCGTTCAGGGGCACTTGAGTCTGCAGCACCACTTGCTTTATCCTAGGGAGCTTTCTTTCCCCTTCAGTCTTTTGCTATCACTGTGAAGTGCCTTCTGTGTAATTGAAATGTCCCCCCTTTTAGGTGCTTTCCTAACCTCTCATTAAGAGCTGGAGATTTTATCTTTTGGGGTGCAGAGTGGGCTGGTCCAAGGGGAAAACAAGGGGGCTTGTTGATAAACTTGGAAACCTGAGACTCTTAACCCAAGGCACCCTCCATGAGATACCTTGTAGCATTTTGTACCCATCTCCAATTTCCTAGAGAGAGGGGTCTTAACTTTCCTCCCATGCTTATGCTGTAGCAGGGGGTTAAGTTAAGCTAAGCTCTGCTTCTCTATTTAGGCTGATATTTCTCCACACAGCTAGTTGTGACCCTGGAAGCCCTTGGGGCCTGTGGTGCTGTTTATAAACACAAATCTGAGGGGCAGGCGGAGCAGGATGAAGCCTCAGCAGGAAGTGATCTGCCAAGCACTTGGGGCTTCTTCCTGAATGCTTGTGCCCCTCTCACAACCCTCCTTCGCCTACCCCCCAGTGTCAAGGGCAGTCTCCTCCTTGGTGGCAGCTGCTGAGAAATCTGAGTGGCAGCTTGAAGGGTGTGTCCCAGAATGCTGGTGCAGCAGCTCCAGATGCGTAACCTGGTGGAAGGGGCTATGCCTTGGGGGGTGGGGTGGGAGGAGGGGGGTCTCCCAGGGGCAGGATGGCATCAGGAGATGTGTTCTGGTCGGACTCCACGGCAGGCCATCAGCTTCCTCATGACAGCGCCTCTCCCCTCGCAGGCCTTGGGCCTCTTCCAGAAGAAACATCTTGTCTGTGAGCCTTTTTTCTCTGTTCAAGGTAGGAAGTCAGTCTGACAGAAGTGAAGCCTCTTTGTTTCAAAGCATTCCGGACTCTGAGGGCCAGCAGACTGCTTAGGTCCCTAGGTAGGGGGTGTGCTGGTTAGTGAGGGTCCTCCCAGGTCCCCAGTGAGTAGAAGGTCCAAATGCCAGCCTGTCATTGCCTTGGACCAACTGCTTCCCTCTGGGATCCTCAGTTTTCTCACCTACAAAATGTTCACAGGTCCCTGTGAGATAAGTGGCTGAGAAAGGCCCTTGTGGTACTTGGCACATGGTAGGCACTCCATGTCTGTAGGAGTAGGAGGAAGACCCTACAACAGAAAAAGTCTCCCTCAAGGTTTTGCAGTCAGGACTGGACAGCCCCCTCTGACATCAGCAGGAGCCTTGTGTTGTATTGATAGAAGGAACCTTAGAGTTCCCATCTTGCGCTGAAAGATGAGGAACCCAAAGTGCAGAGAGGCCTGACAGTAGACCCATGGTCATCTGGGAGAACCTAGTGCAGAATCTGCATTTGAACCCAGGGCTCCTGAATCAGACTCTACACCTCACTCTTAGCTAGGAAACTGGAAACACCAGAGTCACCTGGCATTGAGGCTGCTACGTAAACCCTGGCAGGGTTCCCACCCACCTCCAACACTTTCTCATGTTAAGTTTAAGCGATTTATTGGTTTCTTTGGTTGCTGTCCTGCCCCATGCTCGCCAGCTTTCCATATCCACTTTTGTCACTTATACTGTTTTTTCTTCCCATTCCCCCTGGAAGTGTCTTTTTCCCACCACATTTCATTCATCACAGGCCAGCTTCAGGGCTCAGCATGGGTAATCTGAAACTCTCCTGGCCCATTCCTTCGGACACTTTGCTTATGAAGCATATTGGGGGACCCTCATTCCCCTTGGTGTCCCAGAGTCTCACAGAGGGAATGCCACCTCCACGCAACCCCAAAGAAAACATTGGGATCAATTGAGCTCTTGTGTTCAGTTTGATTAAGTTGGAGGGACCCTGCCAGACCTCATTTATCACTTTGCCATAGCTTAATCAACAGCCTCTCCAGCAGCTGGATTCCCAGAGCCTCCTTCTCAGACCCATGGTTCTTAATCGGGGCTGATTCTGCCCCCAGGGGACACTAGGAGATGTCTGGGGGACGTTTGTAATTGTCATGATTGGGATTTGGGGATGCTCCTGGCATCAAGTGGGTGGGGACTGGGGATGCTTTTTAACACCCCACAGTGCCCAGACAGCCCACACAGAGGACAGTCCAGCTCCCGTGTCCACATTGCCTAGGTAGAGAAAGCCTGCTGGAATGATCAGGTAAAGAGCTCGGCTATAGGTCGATGCTGGCGACAGCATAGTAGAGGCAGACAACCCCTGGCATCAGAGTTGGGTATGGGTTTGAACGTTGGCTGTAATGTGCAGCTCACACCAACCTGGCAGGGGTGTTTTAAGAGTCAGAGTTAAGTACATAATGACATGTCCAGCTCAGTTCCCAGTAGGTGATTAGTATTAAGTTGTGACTATCATCCTCTAGTCTAGACCAAAGAGAAAACATGTCTGTGGCTGACATTGGTTGCACGCTCATTCTGCTTTACATGAGTTACCTCATCAGTCCTTCCTACATACTGATAAAGTGAATCCTGCCATCCTCTCCAAGGAAGAGACTGAGGGGCCATCAGTCTACTCTGTTAGGGAGTGGCTGAGGCTGTTGACTGGTAAAGCAGGATTCCCAGTTCCTGCCCTGGGGATGCTTTTAGGTCTGAAGATGTAAAAAAGGAACTTAAAATAGAAGCTGGAGGGGGCAGTCAGAGGAGCTTTTGCTGTGTTGGCGATGCTGAGGAAGTTTGGAGGAGGAGAAGGGCAGCAGGGCTGAGCTGGAAGGGGGCATCATGTGAAAGGTGAGCTGCAGTGCAAGTGGGATCAAGCCCAGGCCAAGAGGGATTGGTGCCAAAGCCTCCTCCTAGGCTCCTACCCCTACCAGCCAGAATGAAGGGGGCAGGAGGGTTGGGATCAGGTGGTAGCTGATGAGGGCCTCCTTTTGTTATCCCCCCACTTGGCCCAGGCAGCTCCAGGGAAGCCCCACGCCCCACTGGTGGCTCCTGACTCTGGCACCCTCTCCCTCTGAGCATGTGTGTGGTTACTCTTCCCAGAACATGGTGATGAGTTTCCGAGTCTCCGATCTTCAGATGCTCCTGGGTTTTGTTGGCCGGAGTAAGAGTGGACTTAAGCACGAACTTGTCACCCGGGCCCTCCAGCTGGTCCAGTTTGACTGTAGCCCTGAGCTGTTCAAGAAGATAAAGGAGCTCTACGAGACACGCTACGCCAAGAAGAGTTCAGAGCCTGTCTCCCAACCCCACCGGCCCCTGGATCCCCTGACCATGCACTCGACCTATGAACGGGCCAGCACTGTGCCCAGGACTCCACTCACAGGCCCGAACATTGACTACCCTGTGCTCTATGGGAAGTACTTAAATGGACTCGGACGGTTGCCTGCCAAGACCCTCAAGCCAGAAGTGCGCCTGGTGAAGCTGCCCTTCTTTAACATGCTAGATGAATTGCTGAAGCCCACCGAACTGGGTGAGTCCACCTCCTCTGGGAGCCCTGCCTTCCAAGTTGTGCCTGTGGCCAGCCACATGACCCAACATGGAGTATTTTCTGAGAAGCAGCATGGGCCAAATGGCAGGAGAGGTCTTTGTCCCCCCTGGGAACCACAGGGGCCACATTTAGGTCTTTAGATTAGTGACCTGGTGTCATTTAACAAAATTTCCCAAATACTGGCAGCTTAAAACAGTTGAGGGTCCCAGTTCCCAATGGTCAGATCTCTGGAACGGCCTAGCTGGGTGGTTCTGACTTAGGGTCCTTCATAAGGTAGAAGTCAAGCTGTTGGCCAGGACTGGGAGTGGGTGTCAGCTGCCTGAGCTTAAGCTGGGGAAGCTGACCAGCCACAGCTTCCTGGGCCTCCAGGGCTCCAAGTGGAATGCCCTGGGCCTTTTGTTAACACTCAGATTGTCCCTGAGTGTTCCTAGAGATCCCTCTCATGGTCTCCCCTCCCCCATTTATTCATTCACTGACTGGCTCACTCACACAGTGTATATTTGATCGCCAGCTGAGGGAGCCTGTTGCCCCTGCCCCCCCCATATATATATATATATATATTGTGGAGCAGACAAATCCCTCCTGCCCTGTGGAGTTCCCTTCTCAGAGAGCCCCAGCCTGTGCCATCACTATGGGTCCTGCCACCCTCTGCACCCATCTGCATCTCCTGTCCACCCCTACATCTATACTTGGCCCCTGCTTCATGCCAGGCCCAGGCCCTGGTCTTGAATCTGTCCCTGGGTGCTATGGCAGAGGTGAGGTGACGGTCCCTTCACACCCCCACCCATCATGCCCCTGGCTCCTTGGTTCACTCCCTCCCATCCTGCTGACCCAGCATCCTCCCTTCCTCGGCCAGGGGACCCCTCTTTGCATGCAAACTTCAGCTTCAGTCCTGTGCCAGCTCACCCCCTTTGGCCTGCCTTAGTTGTGGGGG